TTGCAACAATGCATTAAATTTTAGATAAAAGCTTAGAAACTCTCATTGAGCCCCCCCCCCCCCCCCCCCGCACACACACATTTTTTTCACTGACCCGTGGACACACTTCACATAGAAACTATGCTAGTCAGTTCATCCAGGATTGCCATACACCTGCAACCAACCACTTGAAACAGGAAGGGTGGACAGAAAGGACCATCTGCGTATTTGACAAACATTGCAAACGGCTATGAATTGGCTGCAATAATCATTTGATCCATACCTGTTGTCAAAATAATCCTTCGCTGAAGGTGTTTTCCCTACCGGCGGAGCAGCAGGTTTTGATTCCTCAGGAGCAGCAGCAGCAGCAGCAGAGTCTGAAGCGGGCACTCGAATCCCTGAACAGCCAGACACATCACCACACAATGAAAGCGGTCGAACCAATGAGAGTTGGCCTTTCTCAGATGCAAATCACAGACCAGCAGAGCAGCACCCCACCCTCTACACCTACCCACACAATGCTACTGTGCTACTGTGCTACAACAACAACAACAACAACAACATCGTGGGAATAAAGATTCGGAACAACAACAACAACAACAACAACAACAACAACAACAACAGCAACAGCAACAACAACAACAACAACAACAACAACAACAACAACAACAACAACAACAACAACAACAACAACAACAAAAACAACAACAACAACAACAACAACAACAACAACAACAACAACAACAACAACAACAACAACAACAACAACAACAACAACAACAAACAACAAAAACATCGTGAAAATGCAGATATGAAATAGAGGCAGTAGTAGCAGCAACATGGGAAATGCACCGATAACCACTACAGCCAGACCCTCTGTTTTTTTTTAGGAGAGCAATCACTTTCCCCTGCCTTCACTTGCCTGAATTCTCATCTGGGAGAGCCTTTTTCGCACTTGCCTGAAAATGTTCATATCATTTTCACCACATGCATTTTAGAGGCTCTGATCTTGATTTCACCAGTGTATCGGTGTGCCTCGTGACGGGATGCCTACGGGATTGTCAGCGGTTGCCATGTAATGCCATTGCAGCGGCGAAGTGGATAGCTGGATCTCAGCCACGCGATGGGCCACGAAGGTCTGGAAATGGCGACTTGGTCTCCTAATCCATGACGGGGGGGGGGGGGGGGGGGGTGTAATGCGCCTTGACGGTCCATAAACCACTATGATGTTCTCGCTTTGCTTACAGGTACCCAGACCCCTGTGCCCGAGGAGAGCAAAATCAGCTACCACTTGTCAGTTCCAAATGATCAGTTCTTTTGCAAGGTGGTTTTACCTTGGCTATCTTGGGGTAGGGAATACTGATGACTAAACCGGAAAAAGAATGGTAGGTTCCACGTAGTGTGCAAAACTCTACTGCCACTCGCCTGGATGACGCCAGGAGAGCGACCGATCACTCTCCACCATGTTCGAGAAATACATGATTTGGGACGCCACTGCTTCAGTACAGCAGTATTAGCAAGAGCACTAGTACATACCCCCAAGAGTGTGCAGCTCCAGTCTATGGGGTCTGCGACAGATAAACCCATGCACATTATTCGCACCCTGCGCATCGGGTTTAACGCTCTGGTGGTCAGTTGGCACTGTTTGCCGGCGAAACCACCATGCCGCGTGATGTGAAACTCTGCTGTGACGTGCTGTCTAAGCACTGGATAGAGGTACAGGCACTCGTGGGGGGGGGGGTAAGGTACTCTTGGTATTAGCAGTCAGCATGGGTGGAAGCATTGGGGATTTGCCGAGACTACGCACAACTGAGAAAATAGGCAAAGCAAACCAGGGCACTCTGTCCTACTCCTACAACTAGTTACCTTTCTTGATAAAGTGGGTATAGCGATGGTTGTAGGCTCGCATCCGTGCCAGGCGAAACTCCCGTTGCTCTGGCGACTCGCCGTCAAAGGAGCGTTTCGCCCGCCTGGCTTGCCGCTGCTGCTCAGTGCGTGGCTTGCGTTGGCGAGGCGCTGGGGCACGTGCGGCAGCGACATGCTGACTAGGAGGTGCCAACGTGATGGACAGCCTGCTTTGGTGAGAATCAGGAACATGGGACTGGTACAGGCCACGTTCCCCTTGCTGCTGCTGCTGCTGCTGGTGATGATGATGATGATGTTGTGGCTGGTAATGCTGCTTGGGCTGCTGGTACTGCTGCTGGTCTTGCAGATCATCAGCATGTTGATATGCTTGTTGCGAACGCTGTACGTAACTTGGCTGGTCGGCATAGTCTGGATAGACTCTACGCGATGGGTAATGGTTATCAGCGTCGTCAGAATGATACAGTACACCCCTGTCCGCCAAGCTGGGATCTATTTCATTTTCAGCGTGCTCTCCATACTCGTACGCCTGGTGCGCTTGATAAACTTGTTCAGGTTTTTCAAAGGCACCGTGACTTCTTCAAAGCAGATTGGGAGAGGAAACAAGGAAAGAGTAATGAGCAAAAGCAACCGCAGAGATACAATGTCACAAGCCAAGTATACTAATACATGTAAGGGAAAAACCCATTACAATCGTTGGTCATTGAGGGAGCAAGCACTCAAGTAAGACATAGTAGTAGTGGACTTCACTGAAGTAAGGTGACATGAAAAAGAGACATAACAGAAACAAAAAGACCCTCAAACGTAAACAATTAACGTCTTGTAGCCATATTTCATACTCGGGCCTACACATTTGCCATCTGCCTCCCGACCATCGCCAACTCTCAACATTTTAAACCATTAAAATGCAAGAAACCTCCCATTTTCTCATTCATAAACATTTTCAGACCGACTCAGTATAAAACAAGCTTACCTCTTCTTAGATTTGTACGCGCGCTTGCGAGGAGGCTTCTCTATTGGTGCGTCAGCGCTAACACTACCATGAGGTGGCATCCGGCTCTCGCTACTGCTCTCAAAAGCAGCAGGATGATCGCCGCTAGACGCAGTGTGATAGTCGCCGCCTGCGGATGCGGATGAAAATGCCTGTTGATGGCTCTCTCCTCTGTCGCTATGCGAGCCAGCAACGCGCGCCTGAGAAAAGCTCTCATCCTCTTTTCTCTCCTTCTCTCCTCCTACCTCGTCAGCTCTTTCGCTTTCTCGTTGTCTGATCTCCTCCAAGTAAAGCTGTTGATCTTCAAAATCTTGCTCGTTCATGTCGAGATCACACTGCTCAATCTGGACATCTTGAAAGTCTACCTGATCCGACATGCCTGCGAAATACGACAGACAAATACATGTAAAGCCATGAAAAGCAATACTAGTACTAGTAATTGGACATTCATCACTTTTACACAAATTGAAGCAAGACGCGCACGCACGCACACACACACACACATAGCATTGAAATAGAAGGTGGGCACGCACATTCGGGAAAGGCCGGGAGCAGCCAGCGTATTCAAATTACATCATCTTCTTGAGCGGTCACGAATCAGATACAGTATAGCCTGTAGTGCCAAACAAGTCCGCGCTCTCCATAATTCATTGCTTGTTGGAGTTGATTCGATTGTACGCGCAATGTCTAGACCATCACCGAAAAGAGACTCTTGGCTGCAGCATTGCGTACATAAGCTAGGGGTCTTGCAGGGAAGAAGGAAAGACTCCAATTGCAATTCTGTGTTCACTGTGCTTCATATCAGTGCAGCGAATCTCAACAAAATCCTACATTATCGACTACAACTTTAGGCACTGCACTTCAAACTTCAAAGTGCACCATTGCACATCATACATACAGAAAACACCCCGATTTTGCACTGATCAAAAGTAACGTGGGTGAGACTGAACGCTAGCGCTCCTGCACAAAATAAGAAAGGAGCAGTATGTTGAGGAACACCCGACTACATGGGAACACAGGAAAAGGAAAGTTCGAACGGGGAGCTTCCACAAATTTGAGTGTTGAGGAAGATGCTCAAGGTCACAAAAGTTTCCAAATGGAGGCATATGGTGGCAACTAATACTTGAAAACTTCAAGAAAAAAAATAAGTGCGAAAGACAATCATCTCACACAGATCATTCTGTCCCAAGATTAGCCTTACAACCTTACTGCTATTCAAATCAAGATCTCCTGAATTGCCGTCGCCCTGCTTTTTCATCTCCCTTCGTCGTTTAGAATAGGCCCGCATCCGCGCCAGGCGCTCGGCTCGCTTCTCAGGAGTTTCATTGATAAGACGAGCTCGGGATGCCGAGAGCGGGCGACTGAGAGACTGCCTCAACGACAGACCGGGCCGAGACAATCCTGGATACAAACCATCATTCTGGTCCTCGTCAAACACAACGGTTTCTCTCACAGCAGATTCCACAGTATTTCGTTCATTGGTGAAGCTCATGGCGGAGCCGAATCAGCATGAACGCCAACAATGAATACCAACAAGAACGCAACAAAGGCATCATGCCCTCGTCGCTTCCTAATAAACACTGGGTGAAACATTGTAATGATATTACGCTGACGATATGTGCACTGTCTACACATAATCAAGATTGTGACTTATGTGCATAGTATAGTATTTCTAACACAGTTACGTGTTTTTAGTGGCACTGAATTGGGCATTTCGAGAATCTTACAATGTGCTCAAGTCGCCACTCGCACGTATTCAAACCTATTCGTACAAAAGTATGGTGAAATTTGCTGTGTAAACCAGACACGGTCACAGAAGGGCGGCAATGGCATTACATACATCGGACTCGACCAGCACGTTGTACTTCATGTATGACGATCTACACTACAGAAAATGGACAAATCAATGCTCTGTCGGATCGCGGAGGCTCTGCAGTGATCATGGTGATAGTGATAATAAGTGCACCAATGCACTCGAAGTCGAACAATACATCTCGCACTCAGACTCTGACTCTGAGGCTGCACTGCAGTGCAGCATGACATTGTATTTTGTAATGTATTCCATGTCGCAGATAAGACAGCCAAATGTGTCTGTTGTCAGGGCCTAGCTGCCGCGGACTAGCTTTGTATGCATGGCCCTACAACAAGTACAAGTCCTAGAAAGAACGAGTGGATGCCGAAGTTTTTTTTGTCTTGCAATGCCAATGACCAGATGACGGCCCCAGACTTCGACCGGAGATCTACTCCGCGTAGGGATTGGAACTTTTGATTACTCAGACCAACTCATTCAGCATCACTAGTTCCCCAATGGTGGTTCAATGATAGGTTTTGCTGAAAGTTAGCTGGCGCTGAGGGAAATTGTTGACCTGAGACTTGGCGAGGAAGGTAAACATTTTATAATGTTAAAAATGAAAATGAAGTGCAGCATACAGTGTATACAATCAGTGGCCTGCTAGCTATTTCATCGTTTTTGAATATTTGAATACTTTCCAAAAGATCTTGACAATTTTTCGGACAAAAGAGATTATCATGTGGAAAGTCCTCCAATTCCCGCCCAAGTACGGTACACATGGTACATGCCCTTTGGCCTTCGAAACAAGCCCGCGCGCACGCGTTTCCCAGGCTATTGTGCAGTATGCTTATGGAGATGGACAATGTAGGTATGAAATGCAGAATAGCATGCGGAAACCACAGTTTCATTCAAGACTGGCCGCCTGTACAGCATACTGTGTATCAGAACAGCTGCACAGGAATTCAAATTCCATGAGAAATGGTTCAAATTACAGGATGCACCCCGCAACACATTCTCACCGGGCAAATTTTTCAATCTGTGTAATTCCCTACAATGTATTCGAACTACCGGTGTCGGGCATCTTCTCTCCACTCCAGTTCGTGTTTATAAGCAACGATCAGGAGTACATAAACCAGAGTGTGCAGCTCCGCATCTATGCTGGATCAGACCGATCCCACGGCGACGTGTTTTTTTGTTTAGGTCATGAGTCATAGAAAACCCGTCATGCCGTAGGTTCAGTGCTAAATCACAAGCAGCAATGCGCAACAGAAATTACCTTCGTGATACGGCAAAATGAACATGTGAACCGGTGTGAGATGCAGACATAAACAAAAATGTCTACCAGAGTTGCACACTCTGGTTTCTCGCACTCTTGCTACGATACTGACGTAAATACGTTGTGGGTATTTGACGACTCCCTGGTGCACATGCCCTGAATGAGAAAATCGGGGACTCGACCCCAGTACATGTACATTATAGTACAGTACATTGTGCACTGCACTTGCCTGCAAACCGAGAGGTCACGGGTTCGAGCCCCCCCCCCCCCCCCCCCCCCCCCGGTCGCACATGTGGCTGCAAAATCCCCGTGATGCAGCTCACCAGATCAAGGTATGGGTCCGGTTCACTCAGTAGATCCGGGTCAAGTGAGCAGTACCCCGGTGCTGAGAGATGGGCCCACACCCCAATATGGCAGCTTCCTCATGTCTCACCCCCAAGACGAAGTACAGTAGGCATACTGGCCGAAGCGAGAGAAAAATGAGAAAATCAGACAATACAAATGTGGGAGCCTGTTTGTACTTTGGCGGTGTTATCACCATCCAGAGTTGCCCACAATAGGCACACGTTCAGATACACAACAGGTCTTTATGCCAATAGATGACCTGCAGCCTTCGTCTTTGGCTGAAAGCATTGATATTAGTGTTGAAACGAATAATCGAATAATCGAATAATTTAGAATATTCGTGGGGTGAACGAATAGTCGTAGGAATTGTCAGAACTGGAGAAAAAAAAGGTCTATGCTCAGTGCTGACCCTGCTGATATTTGCACGGCATAGATGTGCTCGTAGTATTTCTTCTCAATCTCCTCTCCTCCAAGTTTTAATCTCCTATCGGTATCTAGTATTACTTCTCTTCTTACCATACGAGGGAAACATGGATGCAGTGAATGGGGTTTTCGGTCTTTGACCACTTTGTGGTGGGTCTGAGCTACTCACCTCCGGCTCCCACCGCTTTAGGAGCTGCATCTGCGCCTTGATCCAAGAGGCAAGAGGGTGGTGGCTTTCCTGCGGATGCGGAAAACGTCATTTTTTCTCCATAGTGCTTTTCTGTTATGTCTGTACCATGTAGTTGTCAGTGCACATACTGGCAGATCTACATGTCCATGTATAATGTACCGTATTTCCGCAAATAAACGGCCGTCCTCGTTTACAACGCCTTCCTCGTATATAAGGCCGGGGCAGGGTCCGATTGAAAAAATAAAAGACCGTCTCCGATTAGAAGACCGGGCCTACTAAACGAGTCTTTGTTCTTGTGTTAAAAATAGAAGACCGTGCTCAAACTGTGGGAAAAAATAGAAGACCGTGCTCAAACTGTGTAGAAGAAAATGGAAGAACGGGGGTAAAACTGTGTGGCGAGAAATAGAAGACCGGGGTCAAACTGGGTTGAAAGAATAAAAGACCGTCCTCGAATACAAGACCGTCCTCGATTATAAGGCCGGGTTAGGACGAGGTTGAAAAAATAGTAGACCGGCCTACTATTTGTGGAAATACGGTATATGTATGTGCATGTGCGGTACTGGTTATGCACCTCCACAATACTAAATCCGATAGTCAGCGACATTTTTTTAAACTGTTTAAAAAGTGCTGAAAAAGTGTTGAAAAATTCCATCATGCGTATGATAGAATATAGATTATTCGTTCGATGGAGGGCGAAATTATTCGATAGATTATTCGTTCGAAGAATCCGTGTTTGGTTTAAACACTAATTGATATCATTGGTTGATATGCATGCTGTCAAGCAAAGATGCGGGCAACTGTGGATGGCCATAACCCCTTCCAAAGTACAAATAGGCACCCCCTCTAGGTTTTTTGGCGATAAGCCTGAGCTACCTTTAAAAAATAAAAAGGGCGGGTTTGTATTTGCCAGAGATGCCATGCCGAATCGTGTTGGGTACATCCAAATTCTTAGATGCTGGTCCTGAACAGAGACACTTGGAACACCGGTATTCAGCTATTTTGTTCTTGTTTGGGCTCACTCAGAGTCATAGCATTTTTTAAAGAAGAAGAAGAAGATTCTGGCTGTTCTGGCCTGGGACCTCGACTCACGCGAGCCGCTCGAGTAGTTTTACATTCGCGCTGGTATGCTTTTCCTAGTTACAGATTGGTGTATGACTGTATGTGCTCCACAGTCATTCAATTTCTTTTCTCGATTCAGCATTTCAAGAACATCACTATATTGACGATGGCAATTTTGCCGAAACGTACGTAAAGGAATTGGTTCGGTTTGCAGTGCTTTGGGAATGGGTGTGTCCACCCAAGTACTCTCTAGATCACCATATTTGTAAGTTTCAAGCAAAGGTTTGAATATCATTAGACATGGTACGTGAACTTGCGACAACCTACAGAGATGGTGACAAAGATCGCTTATCGCTGCTTTGACGGTTTTCCCGACCTGTGGCAGCCAGCAGTGTCTCCGCAAATGGCAAAGAGAAAGCTCTCACATGTACCTTCTGGAGGACGGGGATGGGTTTGGAATGCACAACTTGATCTTTCGAAGTGCATGTCTTGTATAGGAGAATAGTTGAGTAGGTGTTAGCAAGAGTATATACTCTTGGTGTTAGTTTGTACAAGTACGTTCATTGAATTGGTACTCTACAGCTTACCTGTGAAGTTTGCCGGCCATTGTACTAGTGAAGTACAGCATAATGTGTAGTTCATGATGGCATAAGTTACAGTGTAAAAATGTACTTCGAATGAAGTAGCGACTACAATGGTGGACAATGAAGTCCGGGAAAACGTGTTAACAGCCGGAAAGCTGGCCTTGAAACTATTTTGTAGGCATGCAGTACGAAATACTGCTAATTCTAGTCAGGGTTTGCTGTGACACGATCCAATACACACTTACACATTTTGGGCTGGGATGTCATGCACTCTTGCTGTGATCAATGTTGATTTCATTTTTAACCCTGTGATGGTTAGTTCGTTAGTAAAGGAGGCCTGATGTTGTGCCCTTAGGAAACACTCCAGCAGTACACACACTTGCGTATGGTGAGTGGATTTCTTATGTTCTTTTGATTGCAGAACTTCAATACGTGGACACACAACATTGTGGACAGTCCCAGTTCGGACCAGCAATATGGCAGACAAGACTTCATCAGGGGACGGCGGTGCGCCTGTGTCATCCAGCTCGTTGTCGCCTATTGTCACCGAGATCAACATTTACCCTATCAAGTCATGCAAGGCTGTGTGTGTCGAATCTATCACCGTGGACAAGCTAGGCCTGATGGACGATCGACGTCTCATGCTGATCGACAGCAACAACCGCTTTCTGCACCAGCGCAAGTTTCCCAAGCTGGCCACAGTCATAGCGGTGGTCAAGCAGAACACACTGCATCTCTCGGCACCCAACAAGGAGCCGGCCGTCATTGAGATATGCCGGGTGTCGCGTGCAGATCGACCCGTCCGCAATGTTGGCGTCTGGCAAGCAACCCTCCCGGCTATTGACCAGGGTGACGAGGCTGCAGCCTGGTTTCAGTCGATATTCGACTCGTCGCAATCGTTTGCTCGTCTTGTCGCCATGCCAGAGCTTGACTCGGAAGAGTGTGTTCCTCGGCCAATCCCGTTCCCGGCCTCGTTTCCCAAGATCCCAGATCGGCAAGTGGGTTTCTCCGACTCTGGGCCAATCTTGGTCCTATCTGAAGAGTCACTGGCCGATCTAAATGCACGATATGAAGCTGGCTGGCAACAGTCAGTGCCCATGACACGTTTCAGACCAAACATTGTCGTGAAGGGTGGCGGTGTGGAGGCTTTCGACGAAGACAGGTGGCTGGTTGTGCAGATTGGCTCTGTTCCATTCATGGCTTATCAGAAAGCAACGGTAAGCGGCTTCCTGCTCTCCTCAGAAACTCATTCTCTGCTGGCACGTGACTGATTTCGGATGTTTTCTTTCACATGGCTGCTACTTGTACAGTCATGTAGTTTATTGTGATCACTGGCTGGTAGGGTATTGTGATCACTGACTGGATGTCGTTTGCAGTGCTAAGTCCGCTGGCCAATGTAAACAGATGCCCGGCTTGCCACTCTTGGGCTCACACATCACCGAGGTGAACAAAGGGCAGATTTACCTGGTTTTTTTTCACCAGCTGCCTGCTGTGTTGTGCGTTTGTTGATCATTGGCAAAATGAAGCTGTGGCGAGCGCACTGTAGTCAGCATTTCTTCTGCTGCCATACCTGCAGTTTCAGCTACATGTACTTGACGTGATTCGAATAACTAAGGTTATGTGTGCGGCCTATGCAGATTGTAACTTAAAAATGAAAACACCATAAACTATCCATGGCTTGATTACTACTTGGACCACACTAGCATTTTTTTCTTCTTCTATTTTTTTTTATGGTCAATCCTGACTGATCCACACATGCTTTCTACCTTTACTTGTGTCTTGTGTGCCATTAGCGGTGCAAAATGACCGGTGTTGATCAGGCGACAGGTGAGGTGGACAAGGTTGGACCACTGGAAGCGCTGAGGACGTATCGCGCTACACGCGGGCCTGCGCACGCCGAGTTTGGCCAGTTCCTGGTTCCCCTGAAGGTCGGTGGTGCCATTAACGTCGGCGACGCTGTGAAAGTGCTCGAGTACAAGAAGGCTTGAAGGTGTTGTCCGGCACTACATGTACGTGCGTGCACGCACCCTCGCCAGAACTCAGTGTCACGTGTGTGGTGGTGCCCATCCCACAGTCCTACACTTTCCCGATGGTACGTGTATCTGGCGGCGTGTGCTTGATTATTCAGTGTGCGGTCTTTGTGCCTGGTGTGTCTGGGTGTGTTCCTATTTGCGTGGATGGCACCGAGGCCTCAGTGGAGCAGCGCCTTCGTGATTGTTTCCCGCAAGTTTGCAGTTGTTGAATGCTTAACATGCCCGAGGATGTGCAACTCATGTTGTGTCTATCTTGCACCAATCAGTGCTACTCCTTGACAGTGGATCTGCTCTTGTAATAATAAAAATATATTAAAAAAAATCATGGTTCGCGTGAGACTCGGCCAAAGGCCGAGTTTTCAGCATCCGCAGGAACGCCACCACCCTCTTGGATCAAGGCGCAGATGCAGCTCCTAATAATAAGAGTCATGTAAAATACATTGGGCACAAGGTATGCGATCGAGTCTACCAACTAAACCAGATTTTGAACAGTCTGCCTTGGAATGTAGGTTGTGCTCGGCTCGATGGCGCTCGCCTTCCCCTCTTGGAATTAGCACTAATATCCATGAACCTTCCAAGTTGGAAGGCCGTTGGCTAGCGCTATCGAGCAGTGCTCAAGCTGACTTTCATGCCGTGGAATGTCTCAGTACTCCCTGTCAGTTTTGCGCTAGATTGTGACTGTTCAAAATCTGGTTTAGTTGGTGGACTCGATCGCATAACTAGTGCCCACAATTTCCCATATTACAAATAATAATAATCGTCACCCTTTCGTCCGAATATCAAGCACTCTATTCAGGAATACTTGTACGTGAATGCAAAGGTCCAGTCCATCTACTGACTGTGTCTTCTGGTGAATAGTGTTCAGTGTTCATCATACATCACCGTACTCTGTCAAATCACGAGGGCGTGATTTAGTGTAGGAAGGGAGGGTGTAGTATCCCTGCTCTACACATGACTAGTACACGTTGCATGGCTCTTAGTATCCCTGCTCTACACATGACTAGTACATGTTGCATGACTCTTAGTATCCCTGCTTTACACATGACTAGTACATGTTGCATGAGTCTTAGTATCCCTGCTCTACACATGACTAGTACATGTTGCATGACTCTTAGTATCCCTGCTTTACACATGACTAGTACATGTTGCATGACTCTTAGTATTGCATGTATTACTCTTGTTACAGTGTACTACTTTCGGACAAGCCCTATAATTATGTACTTCACACTCAATGCATGCATGACTTGAGTACATCAGGAGTACACTCGAACGTCTCTTATCCGGGCACTGCCCGTATCTCAGGATAACTCATCTACAAGTACCATGTTACTGTATTGTATCATATCATTTTTTGAAGAAGTTTATTTGGCAAGTATTTGTCAAGTATTTGTCGTCATCTTTGTCTTCACACCCATGGACCCAGATACATTGCATACTTTGCATTCTATTCTCCATGTCACTAACACATATTCACACTTACAGACACAGCTCTCCACTTGTCTCCTTTGCTCCTTCCCTTTCTACCAACACACTTCACCATTGCTGCTGGTAACCACACTTCTCGTGCTTTCCCTTCACGCCGCACTAACACATATTCACACTTACAGACACAGCTCTCCACTGGTCTCCTTCGCTCCTTCCCTTTCTACCAACACACTTCACCATTGCTGCTACCCTCCACACATACAAACATTTCCAGCACTACCGCACCACACAGCATATATACTCGTTTCAGTTTTTGTTGGCTTTAGTTGAATGGTTTTTCACCCTGAAGATGGGCCATGCCCGAAAATTTGGTGCATTCCATTTATATAATATATTATAATATTGTTTATTTATTTTGGAAGTGAAGTGAACTTATGCAGCGAAGAGACCGTAGTTGGAGAGTTTTAAGTGAGGTACCCTGCAATGTGTGAGTGGCTGCAATGGAGTCTGCGAGTGCTTAGAAAAGTTTATCCTGTTGGTCCAGATCGCACTCTCCCCTGGGAATTGGTGGAATGTAGTGTGTCGTTGTCTAAGAGTAGGTGTTCTGTCAAATTCCTTACAGCCTGTCGACATAATGGTGTTATTCCTGGATGTATTCGGAACTGTTCGAAGGCTACGCGTCTTTTTGGAGCCGCCGTGGCCAAACAAGAGACCCGTTTCCAGCAACTAGTACTGAATCAAATCATAAAGGACAAGTTCACCTGCATAAGACGACTCAAAGACAGGCAAGCATCTCTGCGATGGGAAGTCCACAGGAGGATGTTGCCAGGCAGAGCGACATGGGTGACAGGCCATTGCAGTCAAATGAGCGAGTGTGTACGGGAGGACGAGACGAGGCGACTGAGAAGGAAGTTGGACTGTTTGGTGAGGAGTAGGGAGGCATTGGCAGAGCAGGCCCCAGCTATGGATGCCCAGAATCGGAGAAATAGAGTTTTGATTGAGGAAGCTGTGGAGAGCGAGGTGCCAGAGGTAGCGAGAAAGGTGATGGAGCTCGGACCAAAGTTTATTCCTGGCAGACGCGTGACGAAGTCAACAGTACAGCAGGCGGAGGTGGGTGTGGAGAGACTGGCGTTCGGTCTTAGGTGGAAAGAAGAGGCGGAGAAAAACCGGACGCAAGCAGCTTCTCATCAGACGGATACGGGGAGGCCCGTGCGACATCTAGACAATGACACGAGACTGAGAAAGATTGCAACCACGACCAAGCAAGCGCCAAGCATGGATGATGAGAAGGAAAACGGATTAAGGAGACTGAAGGGAAACATCATGAGACTGTACAAGAGAGAGGCCGACATCAATACCTCCAATAACGGACGTCAACTAACGAGAAGGGAGAAGGAGGCCCTCTCCACCTTACGGAGGAATGAAGGAATCGTGGTTAAGCCATCTGACAAGAGTAAGGGATTTGTAGTGATGTCTCGTGACAGTTATGTACAGAAAGCGAATGTCATACTGGAGTGTCGGGATAGTTATGAGCGCTGTGATGTGAAGGTAGAAGACCTTGGCAAACACACACGCAAGAAAGTCGCTGAGATCACCCAACACAAGCTACCACAACCACTCGCCAAAGCCATTCTCCCACATAACTCACGACCGAGCCAATTTTACGGTCTACCCAAAGACCACAAGCCAGGTCTTCCGCTGCGCCCAGTAGTGTCTACGTGCGGTTCGTCAATGGATAATGTCTCCTTGTTACTAGAACGTATCCTGAATCAGTTGTTGAAGTTCGTTCCAGCACATTTGACCAGTACAAAGGAGTGTATTGACGTGTTGAGTGATGTTGGTGTTCTTCCCGATGATTGTATCATTGCCTCACTGGATGTTGTCTCGTTGTATTCTAACATACCAGTTGTCGAGAGCATTGATGTCGTCATGGAGTTCTTGGAGTTGCATCGGAAGGAAGTAGATATGTTTCACCTGTCACTGTCGGGTGTTCGGGAGCTCCTGTCAGTCGTGTTATCGTCCAACTACTTCCAATTTGACGGTATCCAGTACAGGCAGCGGAAAGGCCTGGCAATGGGCAACCATCTCGCACCCCCAATGGCAATCATTTTCATGTCGAAGCTCGAGTCGGAGGCGATGGCTATGTTTCCGTGGAAGCCTCGCTTGTATCGTCGCTACATCGATGATTGTCTGGTAGTGTGGTGTCATGGTCTTGTCAAGTTGATGGAGTTCGTGCAGTACTTGAGCAGCAGACACCCAGACATACGCTTCACAGTGGAACACACCCAGCAGAATGTCTCGCACACAGTCACCATTGCTGCTACCCTCCACACATACAAACATTTCCAGCACTACCGCACCACACAGCATATATACAGTGCATATCGGTTATAGTGTGGTCGTATACAAGAATATACTGCCTACAAGAATGAACACTCATTTTTTCATAATCATAACACATATTTTATGTGTATATTCTACTATATTTATTCTTACAAGCAGTATTATCGCATAGTAGAATATATCGGCCCTAAGAATGGATTTTATGCAGCAAAATATGCCAGATTAGTGCAAAGTGTATCGCCTGTAGTAATAACATCTGTGCTCTGTGCATACTCAATACAATAATATTCAACACAAAAAGAGAGTTATGTCCAAGGGAGCATTGGAGAATCACTTTTTCTGTCCAGTCGGACTCTTTCTTCCGACTTCTCTCGTATCTGCTGCTCCGCAGTCTAGTCGCCTAGCACGACCGGTCGACCGCGAGTCTGATCCGTGTGTATCATGTGTACGTGTCCACATGCCAAACGTGCGCGCAATGCGCGCATGCGCATATGATTACGTCACACTTGCATTATGATATGTCACACGTGATTTATCGTGTGTAAGAAATATCGGCAATAAGAATCAAATGTCGTTTTTCAAACACCCACGCTATAACCGATACCTACTGTACTCGTTTCAGTTTTTGTTGGCTTTAGTTGAATGGTTTTTCACCCTGAAGATGGGCCATGCCCGAAAATTTTGTGCATTCCATTTATATCTAATATTGTTTATTCCCGTAGCTATGCAGAAGACGTTACTTCAGTAACGTCTGGCGCTAGCCAGGGTCCACACAGCTTTAATTTGGTATTTGTGTGTTTGTTTGTTTGTGTGTTTGTGTCACGCCTGGCGCTATCCCGTACCGTACCGTACCATCAAACAGCTGGCCACATACAGCTGGCCGCAATATTCAAATAGGGCTTTCAAACGCAAGATCATAACGTGAAGCAACTTGGAAGAATGGGTATGGATGCGAAGTGTATGGAGGAATGCATGTAGGGCGATAGTGCGGGTTCGAATCCCAGGATATGCCTAAAAAAAATAGGAGAATTGAAAAATTTATGACATCCCTATGCTTTTTTTGCCATCAAGGCGGTAGACGGTGTTGTATTACCCTCGATCGTACCTGTCCCGTACCTATCCCGTACCGTACCGTACCATCAAAGACGGCTGGCCACAATGCATATTCAAATAGGGCTTTCAAATGCAAGATCATAACGTGAAGCAACTTGGAAGAATTACCTATGTACATGTATATGTGTGCATACCGTGTTGAACCTTTTTTACCGCATTTTCCGGTAATTTTTATTCAATTTTTTTTACAGACAACAGGTACGCTGTTTTCCCCGTTCAGTTTTTGTATAATTATTTCGGCCAACGATGTCCCTGATCTGTTCATCAGGGAGTCGTACAAGCTCGGGTTTGTGTGACTCCACGTCACAGATCTACTCACACGATCAGTACTGTACATGTACAGTCATGTATGAACCACTGTGAACTGTTCAAAAAAAAAAAAAATTGGCTTTGGCTCGATTTTGGTGCGGGAGGGCCCGGGAATCTCTATTTTTTTGGTCTCGCCTTATGTCTTAAAAAAAGGAATATTTTTAAAGAATTTAAAACATCCCTATGCTTTTTTTGTCTAGGTCATCAAGGCAAAAAAGCATAGCGTAGGGCCCTGAGCATGAGCTTCCAAGCTCTCTCGTTTATTTTGGAAGTGAAGTGAACTTATGCAGCGAAGAGACCGTAGTTGGAGAGTTTGAAGTGAGGTACCCTGTAAAGTTTATTTGGCACGTAATGCACATGTTTAGGTTTTAAAGAAAGAATCCATTGATAAGAATGTGTGGATTTCACAGGTTGGCAGTGACAAATAAGAACTTGCGCATACGAAAAAAGCTCAAACACCCCAAATTCAAGGCATTTTTGCCATATGGGAACTCAAGCTGAAGTGAAGGTGCCCGGTAGAGAGACGTGCCCATATCTGAGGCGTCCGGATAAGAGGCGTTTGAGTGTACTGCACTTCTCAGTAGAAGATCATAGATCTTCCGTGCATGCTGCTGTCATCACTTCTAGTGCTTCTACCACTTCCTTTTAATTACTAGTTAGTACAGTCATGTATGTCATGTTGTTCTGGACTGTTCCAGACCTTCCACATCATATGCCCGATGAGTAATCTTGCTGACTAAATTGCGTAATACAGGTGGAATCCTGATACCGGTAATTCGAATATGGCTTAATTCGAACATACCGCTTTAATAATTAGAAGTTTTTCCAGGACCGATTTCTGTCACTACGATTCCCACATAAATATATTTCTGATAATTCGAACCTCAAACCAGACATGTACGGTTAATTCGAAGTTCCACGGATTCCACTTACATAGAAAATGTGTGGGATTTGTGCTGATAATTCAAAGTTAGCAAAGTGTAATTCGAAGTTAGCAAAGTGTAATTCGAAGTTAGCAAAGTGTAATACGAAGTTCCCTGTACTGGTCAGTTCCGTTTGCATGAGCAGGCGCTGTGCCGGTCAGTTCAGTATCCGTGAAATCTGTGTCTAAGGTCCATAGCGCAACTCTGCGTGACCATGAGAGCATTTTGTTTATTGTGTTGTGGGTTCATGTTTGGATACTGTAATTTCTCAAATTTTCGGTGTACTTTTAGTTTCGGTACTTTCGGTGCGTCTGTTTCATACCTAAAATTTCAATATACCGAACAAACACGAACATACATAATCCAATAGGGAACTGCTTCTCTGTACCGAAAATTTCTGTTCACCTAACCTGGCCTGTTGCCCTCATACCGAAAATATTGAGCACCGAAAATTTCTGAAATTAGAGAAATTAGAATGTCCGGCTAATTAGAAATTTTTCCTGGCATTTCGAGGTTGGAATTATCAGGATTCCACCTGTATAGACACATATACCGTAAAGTACCGCCAGAGCGCCCCGTCTCGCGAGAGCGCCCCATAGGCCTCGACCAAATATGCTTGCGCATATTTCCGCATATTTTGTGAGGCTGTTCATATTGGCATATGGAGTGACCAAGGGAATATTGGAATGAAGCCAGCATATAATTCAAATATTTTGAAGAAAATGAGGACAAAACATTCATCACATGGACAAAATGCGTTCAGAAATGTCTTATATGGATGAATTTGGAATTTCACTGACATGTACATATATTATGTACTATCATGAGTAGGCAAGGGTCAAGCATATACCCCAGCCATACTATTCCGCATGTGTTTTGACTTGCACCACAAGCATGATAGCCGTGAAGCCAATGAATATTCCAAGGTTGTAATTTTACTGAAATGATCTACACTTTCTGCTTATGTCGAGTATTATTTTGGCATATATTTTTGCATATCTTGCTAAGCCTTTGGCATATTATGGACGTTTTCCCTGATATGCGACGAGCATAAAAAATTATGCTCTTTTTTTAGCATATTTGGTCGAGGCCTAGCGCCCTACCTTGATTTTACAGCCAGGGAAAGGAAAATCGTTTGGCACAGTCCCACGGAGTTTGTACGGTGTGAGAACCATAGTGTACTAAGGTCACACTAAGCAGGTTTCTGTGGGGAGCTCGAGCGCTCGTGTCCGCTCGATGGTACGGATTGTCTCTACAACGTGCAATATGTGTACAAAGCCGTTCATGTTGTATGACCTACAGATAGGAGACCACCTCCACAATACGACCGCGAAAGGACGAGATGGTGAGGCGCTCTGGTGGTACTTTATGGTAATATGACTAATATCACATTCTAGAAGGGAGGGGAGGGAGGGAGGGGGGGGGGGGGAGACTGAGTGTAGGTAGTTACCTCCCTTGCCTTTTTAACGGACCGTGCATACTACACAATCACATGTACATGGGCCCCGGATGGGGCCTGACCTGGTAAACCTTGCTGGATAGTTTACCATGTGTGATGATGATAGCGTAGTGCGAAGTGAAGGAACTGTTTGTGTATGGAAAACAGTGTTCCTGACTGCAACCATAATGACATACCCCCCCCCCCCCCTCTAGAATAAAGAGGGTCTGAACCGGGGCACGGTCCCACACGGTTCATAGAATCATACAAGAGCGGCCCGGGCCTTGGTACTTTTGTGATATGTTTGGTATGTCTCTATGTGGCCGGATAAACTTGGAAGTGGAGCAGAATTCAAGGAAGTGCCTGCCATAATGTTTGTATGGTTCTGCCTTTCTGTTGAGCAGAGTCCGACCGTCCGCCTTCGACTACTACAATTATTACTCAATCCGGCTGCGGACAGCATACTGTTTCGTTCTTTGTGAACTCATCAGCGCAGCACAGAGGAAATGAGGCCGAACCTGATAGCAATGGAAATAAAAACTTCCAATCAGGCCCGAGCGTACCAATTATTAGTACTCCTACCAAGACGGCAAGAGTATACTGATAAGCATTGTGTATATTATCAAGAGTACATAACCCCTCTTGATACTCTTGATATTAATTATAGAGAGAGATGTGTTGGATGGGGGGGGGGGGGGGGGGGGGTGGAGTGCTCCGACTGTTGTGCGCCAGTGAACCTACGGCATGCAGTCAATCCAACAGCAATGAAGATGATGTCACCGCTCGGAAAATGACACACCAAAAAATCTGAGAAGATTGTCTGTTTTGAATTACATCTTTTGGATGTTGCGATACAGACAGTATTCATGGTATTCAGAGCACTACTCCCCCGGATCTCCGTGTAAGGACTTAGGTGAAATCTTCGATCTAGACTTCAAGAAGACTTGTTGTGGCGTGTTCAGCTCTTCCTTCATTCCTGTTGCGCCTGATTGAGTATGTTTGGAAGGAAAAAGACTGACAAAAACGAGAAAGGTGCTGAGAAACCAAGAAAAGGAAAGGATGATTTGGCCGCAATGTTTGGCCTCCAGATGCCTGACGATGACGACGACGATGATTTGGAAGCCGAACTGGCTGCTTTGCAAGGACACCCTGTAAAGAAGAAGTCTGGGCAAAAGAAAACACCCATGTCTATGGCAGAGATTGAAAAGCTGGCAGCGGCGTCCAAAAAGATCGGTGACGATCTGGACGATGATGATGATGATGAAGACTTTGATGAGAGTGCACTGTTGGCAGAATTGGCGGACTTGAGTGATGATGACGACGAGGATGAGGCTTTGTTGGAAGAGATTGCATCACCAACGCCAAGGCAACGTCCTCCTGCCCCTAGCCACATTACACCGACACAGCAAACAGCACCACCAATGGTTGCGTCGGCACCGGCTACTTTGCCATCTGAAAGCACTGCAGCGTCTTCACCAGCAGGCATTGTGCTTGGCCGCCTAGCTATGTATCAAGCTGCAGTTAAGCATGCCAAAGAGAAGGGCGATACGTCCAAGGCCCGCCGCTATGAGCGTGGCCTCAAGACTCTAGATGCACTGGCAAAGAAAGTGAAGTCTGGTGCTAAAATTGATATGGAAGAGGTGCCACCGGAGTTGCCAGCATCGGCCACCGGTGGTGCTGTGACACAGCCTAGTCCTGCACCTCGCACTAACACTAGCGACACTATCAACAGCAGTGCTTCTGATACTACTGCTGCTGCTGCCGTACAGACTGCAGCCAGCGGCAGCCTATCCGCTGTGCGACCTGCAACGCAAGGTGTATCACCAGTTGCTAAACCGCGCGCTCCCAAGCCTACGCCATCGGCCCAAGTCACCTCTTCACCAGTGCCTCAAAGTAGACCTGCACCTGCAACAACGGCAACTGCAGCAGTAGCAGCTTCCGCAGCTTCACCAACAAGCATGCCATCCTCTCCTCCAGCTGCTGCAGCAGCAGCAGCCGACGGTTCACCAACTCGCCGCTTACTTTCCGAGCGGATGAGCCAATATCTACGTGCATCACGTGCAGCGACAAACCCTGCTGACGTGCGCCAGCTCAAGATCACTGCTGCTCGCTTTCAGAAAGTGATTAAGGCGTACGACAGTGGGCAGCCAATCGACTTGGCTCTAATGCCCCCTCCTCCACCTGGCATGACCAGCAGTCAAAGACAGCCAGAACAGGCATCCCCAGCACAATCTATTGCCGCTACTAGATCTACACCACAAGCTGCTGCTACTGCTGCAGTTTCGGAGCCAGCATCTGAAGCGCAAGCTGAAGCAGCCATTCCAGTACCCACCACCGTTCTGGAAGGTCTTACACAACGCTTGCTCAAGTATAGTACTGCTCAGAAGCAAGCCCAGGAAGCTGGTGAGAGTGGTAAGGTACGGCGAATGGGACGCATTGTTAAGCAGTATCAAGATGCAATCAAAGCCACTAAGGCAAACCGCAAGTTTGACTACACAGAGTTACCTTGCCCACCTGGATACCCTCCGCTTCCGATTGCCGGCCAAGCTACGCCATCACTTGCTGTTGCTCGTGGTGCTGCTGGTGGTGCTAGCCCAGTGAATTCCCTGACTAGCTCCTCTGCTGGCACACCAATCGACTTGGCTAACATGTCTCCTCCTCCGCCTGGCATGACCAGCAGTCAAAGGCAACCAGAACAGGCATCCCCGGTACAATCTATTGCCGCTACTAGATCTACACCACAAGCTGCTGCTACTGCTGCAGCTTCGGAGCCAGCATCTGAAGCGCAAGCTGAAACAGCCATTCCAGTACCCACCACCGTTCTGGAAGGTCTTACACAACGCTTGCTCAAGTATAGTACTGCTCAGAAGCAGGCCCAGGAAGCTGGTGAGAGTGGTAAGGCACGGCGAATGGAACGCATTGCTAAGCAGTATCAAGATGCAATCAAAGCCACTAAGGCAAACCGCAAGTTTGACTACACAGAGTTACCTTGCCCTCCTGGATACCCTCCGCTTCCGATTGCCGGCCAAGCTACGTCATCACTTGTTGCTGCTGCTGGTGCTGCTGCTGCTGGTGCTGCTGCTGCTGCTGCTGCTGCTAGCCCAGTCAATTCCCTGACTAGCTCCTCTGCTGGCACATCGGGTGCGGCGATGTCTGGACAATCCCAAAATGATATTCAGCGGCAGGCTGTCAAGGGCCGTTACGAGGAGTACAAGTCAGCAGCTCTTGCAGCTAAAGGTGCCGGCCGTACTGCGGAAGCCGTGGCATACTTCAAGACTGCCAAGGGCATGGAGGCAATGCTGGCAGCTGCTGAGAGCGGTCTGCCTATCGATATGAGTGAACTGCCTGCGCCCCTCAATCCCTCCACTGCTTCCAGCGTGGAGCAAAAGAAACGCTCGCGCACTGAGGACGATGCGGAGGTATTTGAGCGACTGGCGGAAGTGCTGTCCGAGCAGATTGCCACATGTGCCCAGAATGGTGAGCAGTATAAACTTGCTGGAGATGTGAAGGGAGCATCGGCATTTGAAATTGAAGCAGCTAGCTTGCAAGCTGACCTGGACATGCTGAAGAGCTCTGACAAGTACGGCGAAGCAGCGCCGCGATTCCACTACGAGCAGCGCGAGTTCTCGATCGTTCGGTCGTTCCCGGAAATGGGTGACAGTGATTGTGATGTTGTTTTGGACCAATGTCACAGCTTGCCTCTTCCGTCTGGTTACAAGGAGAAGGATCTGTACACGTATGTCAATGTCACGTTTCCGTTCCCACACGACGATGAGCCCACCGAGAAGACGCACACGGTCAAGTCCAGTGTGAATCCCGTGTTCGACGAGTCTCTGCGCTTCTCCATCGACCGCAAGTCGCGCTCTCTAGCGCGCACCCTCAAGCGTCATCCTGTGCGGCTGGAGGTCATGTACGAGCGTGGCTTTCTGAAGAGTGACCAGTCTTTGGGCGTGGGCTCGATACCTCTTGGTGATCTAGAGACCAATTCGGAAGTGCATGCCAGTGTTGATTTGATGGAGGGGCGCAAAGCTTGCGGTGGCAAAATCGAGGCTCGCATTCGTATCCGTCAACCACTGACAGGCCAAGACATCCAGAAGACCAAGCACAAGTGGCTGGTGATCGATGACTATGCCAACATGAAGAGTCAGAAGCGTACCATTCCGCCACCGCAGGCTGCACAGAGAGTGAAGCAGGGCGCAACATCATCATCATCATCATCTGGCAGCCAGCCACTTCAATGCATTGAAGTGCTCAAGTTTGAAAAGCAGCGACTTGAGAAGATGATGCTGGAGTATCGCAGCAAGAAGCAGCCTATTCCCGCACAGGTTCAGCAGCGTCACAAGGCAGCCAGTGAGCGAGCTGCTGCACTGGAAGCCAAGCTGCGCAGCGGCGGTAAACCTTTTCTCCGCAGCTACCTTGCTCAGCTGAAGGCAGGCGCGGACGAGCAGCAAGCTCGTGCCAAGCAGTTGCTGCAGTCCGGTGACAAGACCGGAGCTCACACTGCCCTGCAGTACAAGAAGCTGATGAGCAGTGAGCTGGAGAAATGGGCAAACTCAAGCCTCTAATGACTGCACCGGCAGGGTCGGGAGTTGTGTGACTGTGGTGTTGCAGCCACTGGATTGCTCTCGCCCACATTGATGGTTGGTCATCACAAACCTTTCCTAAGGCCCTCTTCAGACTACGTACACAGAACATCCAGTACAAAATCACATACAACCTAAAAGGCCACATTTTCCGAGCCTACATTCAGACTACATTTTACATGCAACATGCGGGTAACCTTTAACCCTGCGCAAGGGGTTGCGTGAAGGCAGGGAGTCGTACAAAGTTTGTATGCTTGTACGATTGCCCGGTGCAAGTACGATAAACGCAGGAAAGCTGCCTTATACTGTACAAGGGTTCGCACCCTGCCTGATAGGATTGGGCAGCGTTTTGGGCTTCCCTTCAGATTCTTGTAGTTGTCTTGGAAACTTCTATGTAAATGTGACTTATAGGCTGTTTTGTACCTGGTCTGAAAAGGGCGTAACATGCACATACTTGTATCTATAAATTCTATTTCCCTTAGAAGTAGTTCCCTTCCCTATTGTTTTTTTAACGCCGTTCTCATCTCTTTTTGTATTGGCATGGCTGGACCATTGCTTTCTTACCACAGTTCCGCTCTACTTTCTCGATGTTGCTACTGGCACAGTGCTGAAACAGGTATCTTTAGAGTGTGTGTGTGTAAAAGAAAAATGAAAAATAGGGATTCACTGGCCAGAAAAAAGCCACTTCAATCAGCTGTGTGGTGGATACCAGGCTAAAATTAGTGGCGGTCAATTCATCAGCCTTGCAAGCTGTTGAATGGTGTAATCCCAGCACAAGTTGCTATGTCTAAGATAGCTATCCGCTAGCATCTCTTCCGCGATGGGCAGGTCTGAGGTGTGTGTGTATGTGTGTGAGTGCCAGGTAGTTTGCTTGGTGGGTACACGTATGCCAGATAGTGCGGGGTCTGTTGCCACCGGGCTCAGCTGCTGGAGGGTGTAATGTTGTACCTGCCGCATTTGTTGTTTTCAGGGTTCACACACTTTCTATTGAAGTATACATACCTCTTTTACCATGCACTACTTCTCTCCCTTGGTTACCCACTTGACCACTGAGTTTTGGCAGTGAGCAAGTGCAATGTGTTAGTGTGTGTGTGCACGCACGCATGCTGCCCTCTGCTTCTGGTCCGGCAGTGGATTCCAGTGACACGATTTTCAGTGTGGCAAGTGGCCATCATCAGTGGGTGAGCATCTACAGTTGAAATAAACTATAGTGAGTACAATAATGATAACTGTGTATGCCACTAGATCTGAAATAACACGAGACTGCACGGATGCTTTACTGTGAAAGTGTGATGCTACCCCCCGCCCGCAGGAGTGTACCTGTGTGATGTACAGAGCAGGGAGTCGTAAAACACGGCATTTACGACTCCCAGGTACAGAGTAATAGTTCAGACCTGAGAGCAGAAAGAGCGATCAACATCAGAAAAGAACATATCGGCACTTTCATTTCGTACTTGCACGGCCGCGACTAAATGCCCGGGCTGTGCAAAGCATCGGAGAGCCCCCCTTCCCTTTCCTCTCATCTCCCATGCACTATACGCGTGTGATCACAGTGGATGAGGGTGGGCATACACAGTACCGCCTGGTTGAGATTCTGGCTTTGAGGAATACATCAGCATTGCTATACGGTAGCGGGTTCGACCTCATTTCTCTGTGTAGCGTTGATGAGTCCACACCAGGGAGCACTAAAAAAATAAACAGTTTTTTAGTACTCCTGGTCCACACAGAAATTCGAAGCAGTACCGTCCGTAGGTCGACTGCATTGTATGGTATTATTATAAAGATCATTCTGCAATCAGCTTCCAAAAGGCACAAAATAAAGTCTTCTGCTGCAATCAATATCTGGAGAAACACTACTTCACTACATAATACAAACATAGAGTGCATGGCAAGTAAACACAGGGTGGCGGCGAGCACGTAACCGGCAGTGTGCACTGTATAGGCCACCACCAGTCGGCGATCGCTGATGCACAAGACTGTGAAGGAGCTCGGCGGAAGGGATTTCAACATGCAGCTCACAGCGGTCTCAGTCTCAGAGTTGCACGTGGCCGAGGTAATACAATGGCAACTCGCAGTGCAACACATCTCAAGGCACTCTGTGCCCACAAGCTCCCGCTGGCGGGGATGTGATGATACCGAGCATGTAAAGACCTTGCTGTACACAAAGCATAACAGGTCTATAGTAGCTTTACACTGAAGTACACAGTCAATAGGCGTTAAAGGCTAACGGGTGCCAATCAACTTGACGTGGTATAAACTTCCGTGGATAGAAAGACATGTCAGCAGGTGGATGACCTCTTGAATTGTTTCCCATCAACAGTGGCAAATTTCTCACTCTTCCTGACACTGAAGACGGCCGGATTGGCTCGAGTTTCCTGCAGTGAAGAAGAAGAAAAACCAATCATCAGAATTAGATACCATTGGAGAACTCAAATCTGTCAGGCTTCCAAAGAAGCAAGATATCAACACGGTCGCATGTGCCTCGGGTACGTAGGCACGCGCATGCACGACGCTTTTAGTGACATTTTGCATACAAATCCCCATCTAGTAGGGCACAGTCACCCAGTTTCAGTGGAAGTGCGCGAGTTCGATTGGGAATAAAGGAGGAAGGGAGCACCTCAGCTTCCTCGGACCAAGACCATTCGACTCGGCACCATTTTAGGGTATATTTCCCCTTTAATTTTAGTGTTCATCTGAGCGAAGAGAAGACGTAGAACCTGCTCTTTTCGTTCCCACGCTAAGGGTACTGTGTGCGGCACAGGCTAGTACTGCATGAATATGATGCTCAAGCCTGATGGATTTAATTCGCCAATAAATAGTCAAGGTGCAACGGCTTCACACATAAACACAGCAGATTCGAAGGCAGTTTCTGCATGCGACACACCATGCACACAACACTTCACAAGGCTCTGAGAAAAATGCACTTGGAATCTGGAAATCATAGCATAGAACTGCTAGGCCATATCCACTGAAATGTTCTGCAAATTTTACAATATATTATAGAGAGTATAAAGACATACAAATTTCGCATTCCTCAACGGTGTCATCCTAAGCACAAGCATACTAAAGGGAAGAGAAAACATTTATTATGTTATTGCTTTGGATGCTTCTTTCGTCTTGTCATGCTATTTTCAACAAGGCAACACTTGTGCTCGTAAAAATACCAAAAAACAATTTTGAGATTTCTTTTAGTGCCATCAATTATTCCAGGAAGGAATGCTCAAACCATTGTCATCCCACTACACAAACGTATGCACTTACTAAGATCCACATGAGAGCTTGGTGTCCGCGGCTCTTGGAAAGCGCGGCTCATCTATTTTTCGATGCCAGTCGGCGAAATCAGCAAATCGGGTAAAGTAGTTTCTTCCATATTGAAAGAAAGGCCAAGATGGTGTATGCGATTCAAAATTTCTACTCAGCGTCAAAGAACAACATTGAATTCATCATCTTCCATTGCTGCAATGGCAAAAGAGCCAAGGCAGGCCGCGAGAAAGGCCACAACAACTGCCAAATTTCTCCCCCAACTGCCATTATCGTCGTCATCTTCACCAATAGGCAATACAGTTTTGTGCAAACCCTTTCCCGCGGGATTGGAAAACGGCCCTCACATCACTGTAGGTCTACATGATGTACGTGTACAACTCATGAGCTCATGCTCATTGGCCCGGTGCATGGACCATGTGGACTGCGTAGATCTACTCTGCATAGGCCAGGGCACTTTGTGATTACTCCGACCAACTCATTCAGCATCAGTTCCCCTATGGCTATGCCTATGGTGGTTGAACCGTTCAATGATAGGTTTTGCTGAAAGTTAGCTGGCGCTGATGGAAATTGTCGACCCGAGACTTGGCGATCGCGAGGAAGGTAAACAAATTATAATGTTAAAATGAAAATGAAGTGCAGCATGCTAGCTGTGCAAATTTTCATCGTTTTTGAATATTTGAATACTAGTATTCCCAAAAATCTTGTCAATTTTTCGGACAAAAGAAATAATTATCATGTGGAAAGTCCTCCAATTCCCGCCCAAGTACGGTACATGTACATAGTACATACCCTTTGGCCTTTGAAACAAGCCGCCAGGCGCTAGGCGTTTCCCAGGCTACCGTAGAATCCCGCGGATAAGCCCATCAGCTTATCTGTTTCACAAGGACATTCCGGTGGGCTTATACGAGAACATGGGCTTATACGCGGGCATGGGCTTATACGCCGGCACCAAAATTGCGCTATTGAAAAGCACCAAGGAAGTGAGAAGTACATTGCTGAACACCACTGTGCAATCAAAAACAACCGATGATTGTGTTGAAAACTTGAAATGTACGAAGAAAAAACCCCAACCCAACATGTACTTCGTGCATGGTACGACCTGGGGCCCATGGGCTTGTACGACGAAGCTTCGTGATGTTCGAACTACCCCTGGGCTTATGTGCGAGCATGGGCTTTTACGCGGGTGGGCTTATCCGCGGCATTCTACGGTATTGTACAGTATGCTTATGGAGATCAACAATGTAGGCATGAAATGCAGAATAGCATGCGGAAGCCACAGTTTCATTCAAGACTGGCCGCCTGTACAGCATACTGTATCAGTACAGCACAGAACAGCTGCACAGGAATTCAAATTCCATGAAAAATGGTTCAAATTACAGGATACACCCTGCAACACATTCTCACCAGGTACGCATACCACACGGCGGCAATCTGTGTTGAGGGCCACGCAGATTTTTCAATCTGTTTAATTCCCAACAATAGGGAGGTTTAGTCCCGCGTAATCCGTGGGTACTTTACGTGTGTGTACCACGTGATACTCAGTGACCCACGTACAGACGTTTTCTGATTCACGACATACCGTGTATGGAGGCTTACCCACGTTCCGCCAGAACGTGGGTGAAAATCAGAATGGAGCGCATTGTGCGAGCTATGAGGGTGCTCAGCTGAAGAAGTTTCCGAAGCACGAAATCGAAATATTCGATGAGCTTCTAAGGCCCGGGTAGCTTTGTCTTTGACCAGGTTTGGGCCTTTCGCTTCATGCTTTTGTTGTTCCGTGTGACTAAACATAACATTGCAACGTGGATGCCCTTCATCCACTTTACGTGTATCACCCACGTACGCGTTTCCGTTACGTGGGAACTAAACTTCCCTAATGTATTCAAACTACAGTACCGGTACAGTACCAGTATATGCATTTACTATCCACTCGATTTTCTGCTTATAACCAACGATCAGGAGTACATAAATCCAGAGTGTGCAGCTCCGCCTCTATGCTGGATCAGACCGATCCCACTGCGAAGTGTTTTTGTTTAGGTCATCATGAGTCATAGAAAATCTGCCGTGCCATGGGTTCAGTGCTAAATCACCGTATCACTAAGGTGAGAATGGGAAAATCGGGTGCTTTTTTCACCTTTCGTACAACAAGTAGCAATGCGCAAGAGAAATTACCTTTGTAGAAAAAAAGAAAAAAAGGACCAAGGAACTACAAGTTACGCTTTAATGTCCACTAACACCACCAGTTACTATACAATCAGCTCATGCGATAACATTGCACGACACTGACCGACGGTATTGACGTTCTACAACTAACTGGCTAACAGTGTCGTGCAATGTTATCGCATGAGGTGAGTGTTTAGTAACTGGTGGTGTTAGTGGACATGATAGCGTAACCTGTAGCTCCTTGGTCGTTTTTCTTTTCTACAAATTTATCCTTGGCTCTCCATCCGAGAAATTGCCGTCATCATGATACAGTAAGATGAACATGCAAACTGGTGTGAGATGCAGCAAAGGTGAGTCGCTATGACATAAACAAAAAAACTGTCTCCCAGAGTTGCATACTCTGGTCTATTGTACTCTTGCTACGATATTGACGTAAATGCGGTGTGAATATTTGACGACTCCCTGGTGCACATGTCCTGAATGAAAGAATCGGGGACTCCCCGGCCCCGGTACATGTACGTAGTACATTGTGTGCTGCACTTGCCTGCAACCTGAGAGGTCGACCGGTCACGGGTTCGAGCCCCCCCTCCCCATGGCTGCACATGTGACTGCAAAATCCCCGTGATGCAGCTCACCAGATCAAGGTATGGGTCCGGTTCACTCAGTAGATCCGGGTCAAGTGAGCAGTACCCCGGTGCTGAGAGGTGGGCTCACACCCCAGTATGGCATCTTCCCCATGTCTCACCCCCAGTACAGTAGCCATACTGGCCGAAATGAAGAAAAAAGGAGAAAATCAGGCAATACAATTTTTTTTTTAAATAAGTGACGAGGCGTCGTACAGATCTATCCAGCCTAAGGATGCGTTATTGAAATTCCTCCAAGCTCTCCAAACTTCTGAGGTGGTTGAAACTTGGAGATTCCCGTGTTTTTGGATCTAAGCACGCAGACCAGCAAGAAGCACACATGCTCCCAGGTGCAAACGACAACATACACGCGTCAAGTACCCCATGTCAATACCCCATGTCAAGTACCCCATGTACATATACATGCTCATGTCTCACAAGACGGCGGCCCGTTTGGCGTTAGCACTTGAAAGGTCATTGAGAGATCCAAGAGAACTTTTTTCAAGGAACCAGCAGGAAACTAAGAACATCCTATTAAGATTTGCCGAAAATGGAACATCTGAGCACAGGGTATAGTATGTGTGCATCCGGTACACATTCACCATTCAGGTATTTGTTGTAATTGTATGAGCTCTCTACACAGTGGTATGTACACATTGAGGGCGCTGATGCCGGTCATTCCATTTGCCGAGCAGGAGCATTGCGGCATGCCTGCAGTTTGACTAGTTCACATGATGCACTGCCAGTCTATCAACCCGCAGCCTACTTGCAGTCTATTTTTGAGCTAAACTTGGGCATCGCAGTGCATTGTGAACCCTAGGGTGACACTACACGTGTGGTGTTTGGGTTTCGCTGTGACGATATGCGATGCACACTTACCCGCTCTGGGCTGGGATGTTATGCACTCTTGCTGTGATCTAGGTTGATTTCATTGTTTAACCCTGCATTGGTTAGTTTGTTGGTAAAGCGAGCCTGATGTTGTGCCCTTAAGAAACACTCCAGCAGTACACACACTTGCATATAGTAAGCGAATTGCTAATGTTCTTTTGATTGCAGAACTTCAATACGCGGACACACAACATTGTGGACAGTTCAGTTCGGACCAGCAGTATGGCAAACAAGACTTCATCAGTGGACGGTGGTGCGCCTGTGTCCTCCAGCTTGTCGTCGCGTATTGTCACCGAGATCAACATTTACCCTATCAAGTCATGCAAGGCTGTGTGTGTCGAATCGATCACCGTGGACAAGCTAGGCCTGACGGATGATCGACGTCTCATGCTGATCGACAGCAACAACCGCTTTCTGCACCAGCGCAAATTTCCCAAGCTGGCCACAGTCATAGCGGTGATCAAGCAGAACAACACACTGCATCTCTCGGCACCCAACAAGGCGCCGGCCGTCGTTGAGATATGCCGGGTGTCGCGTGCAGATCGACCCGTCCGCAATGTCGGAGTCTGGCAAGCAACTCTCCCGGCTATTGACCAGGGCGACGAGGCTGCAGCCTGGTTTCAGTCGATATTCGACTCGTCGCAATCGTTTGCTCGTCTTGTCGCCATGCCAGAGCTTGACTCAGAAGAGTGTGTTCCTCGGCCAATCCCGTTCCCGGCCTCGTGTCCCAAGATCCCAGATCGGCAAGTGGGTTTCTCCGACTCTGGGCCAATCTTGGTCCTATCCGAAGAGTCACTGGCCGATCTAAATGCACGATATGAAGCTGGCTGGCAACAGTCAGTGCCCATGACACGTTTCAGACCAAACATTGTCGTGAAGGGTGGCGGTGTGGAGGCGTTCGACGAAGATAGGTGGCTGGTTGTGCAGATTGGCTCTGTTCCATTCCTGGCTTATCAGAAAGCAACGGTGAGCGGCTTCCTGCTCTCCTCAGAAACTCATTCTCTGCTGGAACGTGACCGATTTTGGATGTTTTTTTTTCTCACATGACTGTTACTTGTACATGTAGTTTATTGTGATCACTGGCTGGTAGGGTATTGTGATCACTGGCTGGTAGGGTATTGTGATCACTGGCTGGTAGGGTATTGTGATCACTGGCTGGTAGGGTATTGTGATCACTGGCTGGTAGGGTATTGTGATCACTGGCTGGTAGGGTATTGTGATCACTGGCTGGTAGGGTATTGTGATCACTGGCTGGTAGGGTATTGTGATCAGTGACTGGATGTGTTTTGCAGTGCTAAGTCCGCTGGCCAATGTAAACAGATCATGCTCGGCTTGCCGCTTTGGGCTCACACATCACCAAGGTGAACAAAGGGCAGATTTACCTGGGGGGTTTCACCAGCTGCCTGCTGTGTTGTGCGTTTGTTGATCACTGGCAAAATGAAGCTACGGCGAGCGCACTGACTGTAATCAGCACTTCTTCTGCTGCCATCTCTGCAGTGTCAGCTACTTCGAAGTACCTGTACTTGATGTGATTAGAATAACTTAGGTTATGTGCGTGGCCTGTGCAGATTGTAACTTAAAATGAAAACACCATACACCATCCATGGCTTGGTTACTACCGCACCGCGCTAGCAGTTTAATTTTTTTAATTTTTTTTATGAACAATCCTGACTGATTCACGCATGCTTTCTACTTTTGCCTGTGTCTTGTGTGCCATTAGCGGTGCAAAATGACCGGTGTTGATCAGGCGACAGGTGAGGTGGACAAGGTTGGACCACTGGAAGCGCTGAGGACGTATCGCGCTACACGCGGCCCTGCACACGCCGAGTTTGGCCAGTACCTGGTTCCCCTGAAGGTTGGTGGTGCCATTAACGTTGGCGACGCTGTGAAAGTGCTCGGGTACAAAAAAGGTTGAAGGTGTCGTCCGGCACACTACGTGCGCGCGCGCACATACCCTCGCCAGAACTCAGTGTCATGTGCTGTGGTGCCCATCCCACAGTCCTACACTTTCCTCGATGGTACGTGTATCTTGCGGCGTATCATACGGTTTGATCATTCAGTGTGGGGTTTTGTGCACGGTGTGTCTGGGTGTGTTCCAATTCCATGAGCAATGCTGTTCATAAAGCTGCAAGTGCTCGTTGGGCAACAGCACTATGGCCAGACTGCCATGTACGATGTACATGTACTGTGCTGGGTGCACTTGATCAACTGTTGGAGCAGTGAGGTCTACGTCACTACTAGCTTTTTTATTTTATTTATTTTTTACTTGAAACCACGCACCCAATTCCTAAAACATTTCCCACAAGGAGGAAATGGCAAAACAACAGACTAACAAGACATTGACTGAATGGGGCTGTTTACGCTACTCTCTGCAATTTGCATGCCACATCTAATGGGAGTATGCTGATACAGTTCTCTTATATCCCATCCCCCAACGGTTGAACACGAATACCATCGTTAATGGAATTAGGAAGTTTTTCGCTGAATTATAGGATAAGTATGTGGTTTGGGAATTAGGACTTTTTTTAAAGTTTTTCACCTACATAGAAATATGAGTAAAGGGTGCGTATCACGCTGATCACACCTCTTCACACGTCTATCACCAGTGCATGACTAGGATTTTCTATGTTTCTATGTGCGTGAGATTTTTTATAGGTTTTTTTTACTAGTAATTGGAAGTAAGTTTAATACTGCGCAGATTTCAGCAATATTACTGACACCTACACCTACATGTATTTCTATTGCTTGTAGGAATTCCCCTAACAGTGTTACGAAGCCAGGATCATTGACAGTTGCAGTAGGCATTGTCTTTTCACAATCTTTCTCAATAGATAGCAATGAAAAATATCAATTGTGCACTCATAACCATGTATAAACAATTAAAATGAAACAATTCCAGAGCGTTTTCATTGCTATTTTACGACTGTTGTCTCCTCGTCGGTTATTTCTCAATAGACACAAGTGATTTTACTGTGATGGCATCTTCGTTGCCTTTGTGTCGGGCAGATGGACACAAATCCTGCCATACGAAGAAAAGGCTTTTTAAGTGCAAGTTTACTGATTGATGTGTGTGTAGGGAAAAGATGTTAGTCCACTTCTCCAGCACAAAGCATCACGGTCAAATACCGGTAGGTGCAAAGTGAGGAGAAGACGAGAAACTCAAAGAGTGAGAGCACTGGGTGTGACACTGTGCAACCATAGCGCGATGCCGGTGAAGTGAGACAAACCTGTTGATGTTCCGAGGAGTCAAACTGTTCGACTTCTGTAGGTGTTCACACCATCCGGCTGTGTGCAGTGACGGCGGTGGACACGCCAGTGGGTTGCGTGACCTTCCTCATTCACCTAGTTGTTTCTAGTGAGGAGGCAGCGAATACTATGTTTAGAGTGCCTCCATATGTTTGTTAATTTAACAGTGTTTGTTGTGCCAGACTATGACCGGATAGCAGCTACTAGTATTCCAATGCTTCTAGTATGGTCAGACAGCAGCTACTAGTATCCTACTGGAGTACTGCTTCTGTTCCTGGCCCCAATAGGCTTTACAGTGCCCATGGTAAGAATTCTGAGCTTGTCTTTTTGTTTAAAAATTGTTTTGCTTGAAGTACATGGCTTTAGCTGTTTGGTGTGCCAACCTCAACGCAGGATCACGCTTCAGCATTATCGATTTCTGCCCATCTTACGGACCTGGGTGAAGTGCTTGCTTGCTGGAGAGGGAGACGCTCATCATCGCCATGTCCACTAGTAAGACTCTACTGTAGTGCCTTGGCTGCTTCTATTCCTTTCATGCAGTGAAACAGTTTAAAACTTCAGTTTAACGTTCCTCCGGGGTGCACACTGTAATCTGTAATTCCTAGCCGAGGTTCTGTACAACTGTATGTCCCAGGGCAAAAGACTGGGAAAGGAGATGCAGGCAGGCTCCTCAATACTGTAAAAGCCATATATAACGAAGTGCTAACTCTAACGAGTTAACGAGGAGAATTCTGTCATTAAAATAGAAATCGTTAAACTGAAATCGATACATAATTATACTGTCCTATTGAGCGTTGAGAATGAGTGAGAATCGTTACCTTTGGTACAGTTGAACATCGATTATCCGACCACCTCTGGGCAGACAACTGTCAGGCGGTGTTCAGATAAGGCAAATGGTCCGGATAAGAAAAAACTGTCACTCACACACTTTCAGTGGTATTACTAGCCGCACGACCTTTTTACTTTTTACTTTTCAAAATTTTCGTATTTTTTGAATGGCTCACTACATGCACAGTGCGTACTCTACGGCACGTGCGCCCAAAAAAACTGTTACGGATAATCGAATGGTCGGATAGTCGATGTGCGGATAATCGATGTTCAACTGTACTCGTAAACTAGTCAATTTTGGGAAATCGTTATATATGCGCCTCGTTAGAATAATGGCTTTTACAGTATGTACTTTACATATCCAATGTTACGGGGAAAGTATTTCCGTGTGTTGTATCCAGGGCACTTTATAGTTTACTGTAAAACCGGAAAGTTTAGACCAAGAAGTTTACGTTTTGTAATTTTGGCATGATTACGTGCGGAAAGTTTAACGATGGCTACCTGGCCACCCATCTGTATGTGCATCTTTACACAGACATCTCAAACCGGGTTCGCGATAATGTTTCTTCAAGTAACGAAAAAATTGGTCGTTAAAACGTTAGACCGTTTGTGACTCGTTCGATTTTCCGGTTTTACAGTATATTGAAGTTTCGTATTGGGTACTTTTTACTCAAGTTTCATGTTCCTACTAGTACCGTTGAGCTGATCTCTCTACAATTGTAGGCCCGCTGTCCTGCCCGTGGTAGTTTGACTTGACCAAGCCTACATGGTTTCTATTCCAGTCGTACTGTACGGTTTGTAGGTCGATGGTTGTTGCTGGTTCAATGGCTCGGTATACATGTACATGTACGGTGTTTTATGGTGAAAAAGGAGGACGAAATGTTACGAGTTATGACTAACTGTCCACCAACGTAACCAGATCTTATACAGTCAGCGAGTGCCATCCGAGTTGTACAGTGTTTTCTTCTTCTTTGTACACACAACTTGTGTGGAGGATACACAGCTTTCGTACCGTTGTGGCTTGACGTCAAGTTTAGACATGTACAGTTTGTACATCCGCGTTACCACTGGCTATACAATTGTGTTTTAAAAGTTAAAACACAACTAGCTTGGGAAGTTTCGCTCATGCCAGGCTGCCACCATGCATGATTATAAGTAATTACTTCAGTATTATAACCAAAGTTTGACGTGGGTGATGAAATGATGGTGATTTCCATCACCTGACTGTGTAGTACAGTCAACTTTGCGTATAACGACACTCGACGGGGCATCAGAAAAGTATCGTTATTCGCGAAGTCTCCTTGTACCCAAAGTCTCATTATATGTATACAGGTAGATGGGACTTTGCTCTGGACATGGGAATTCTGTCGTTATTCGCGAATTGTCGTTATATCCGCAGTCGTTATTAGCGAAGTTGACTGTACTGTGCCACCAGAGTTCTACTGCTACAGTACAATCAGGTAGGAACGATAATCCTAGGGCATGCTGGCTGGAATTGCTGCTGAGACTTAGAAGAATGTGCTGGATTGAAATTGCCAGATGAAACGGCCTTTCACCAACCTCGGAGAAAGTGCAGAGAAATTAGGGCGGTTCTGGTCTACGTGAGGGGAGCACAGCGCGAAGATATGAGTACTCGCGTTGGTGGGCTTCACAAATCATGAAGAAGATGCTCTGCAACTTCACGCAAAGCAAAGGAATCACATTAAAATGTGTACTGGGAATTTCCGTTCCGAATTTGTGGAAGACTTTCATTGTGAGTTCTGTTCAAAGGCAGTACATCGCACTGGTACGTGCACAGTTCGTTCGCTGTGTCCGTTGTGGCTTGTTGTAGATAGTTGTTCACTGTGTAGTGTGTACCGATAGTGTGCATCTCCAGGTCCCTCTATGGGCAACACCATTCCTATGCTTGTGTGTCAAAGTACTTCAATGCTGCATTTCCTCTGGGGATGCATGTAATGCATTTCCTCTGGGGATGTATGTAATGCATTTCCTCTGGGGATGTATGTAATGCATTTCCTCTGGGGATGTATGTAATGCATTTCCTCTGGGGATGTATGTAATGCATTTCCTCTGGGGATGTATGTAATGCATACTCGATTACAGTATTGTAATTTTCATCCATCCTACGGTGCTTCAAGAATATTAGAGGGAAATTTCAATTCCGAAAGTTTGAAGTATCACTAGACCTGGTGCATATGTATATGTGTGCTAAGGTCATACTTTAGATGGCGACAATGTCACATTTAGTGCAGCTATAATCATTAATGGTATTCTCACTTGAGTGACCAGTGTCTGGGCTATGACAGAGGAGAGCTATGATATCTTGGAAAATAAAGACGGTTTTGCAGTGCACAAGTTCACGTCCCGACAGTGAGCATGACTCATGGTGACTCATGGTGACTCATGGTGACTCATGGTGACTCATAGTGACTGGTACGCGGAGAACACATGTAGTATATTATTCGTTCGTTCTTTGAATTGGTATTCGGGCAAAACATCATTCGTACATGTACATGTACTTGTAAGTCATGGTTCGTTTCATCACTAAATTGTCCTCACATTCTCATAGCTGCAGCACTATCAGTTCTCAAGATGTCTGCTCGTATACTGGCCGGTGTCGGGGTAAGCCGGTACTGTCAGTCATTGCTAGCTGATTTGCACGTACAATGTAGCTGGTTTGTGCTGTGGATGGGGAATCCTGCAAGTAGCTGGTTTTACATGTGACCGGATAGTGTAATTGGAAACTACATTGTATAGAAGCACTGGGAAGGATTTACGCTGAAGGCAGATTACACGTTGCTCGGTTACAGCCGAGACTGTCTCTTTGCCAAGTGATTATTTGAGTACATGTACTCTGCTGATGCGATCACCTGGCCATATTGCCTGCACAGTGTTCTTCCTGTGAACACAGAGCAGCGGTGTAATGGGATGTGACAGTAGTACGGTGTCTCATCGCAGCACACCACCGGCCTCCTCAGCTTGTACTGATGTTATCATGTTCTCCGTGCGCATTGTTTTTCTTCAGCCGGCCGATCGATGGCGCAGCTCTGGTGTGGCGTACTGTTCACATCCGTAAACCGGTCCTGTTATGACGCATGTCTCTTGTTACGTCCGCAGTAGCCCGTCCTGTTATGACGCATGTCTCTGGTTATATAGTCATCAAGCTTAGAGGAGACACCTTAGCCAGGGCGGCTGGTCTCCGGTGATAATGCGATCAGTCAATGAGCCATAACCGTCGTGACATACCCATACTCTGTACAGTGATAGTGTGGTGCAGTGACGCAGCGTGCTGCTGCAACTCAATATGGCAGCGCAGTGCCCTTTCTCGTGATGCTAAGCAGCAGTGATCTTTTGCTGTTTGGCCGAATGTGAACCTGGCGGACTACCCATCATACTTCGTACATGTATCACGCGACTCTGCAAATAGAACATCTGTGCATCACAGGGACTATGGGATAGCTGTACACGACGATCCAGTGCCGAGTACGTGCCAGCCATCGTTGACACAGTACTCCAACACTGCCAGTGCTGCTGCAGGTATGAGATGGACTGCACTGTAACTGTACGCCCCGCATCACCAGCTGAATCTAATACATGAAGTAATTAATTTATTAGGCGCAGCTGCCGCACCCAGTCTACGTCTGTGGCAGGCGATTGACATCATCACCTGCAAATCTGGTGCTGCGTGCTGTATCATTACCTGCGTGTTTGTGCCGGGTGTGATGTGCAAAGGATATGCAAGGGTAAATTTGAAATTTAAAACAGTCAGAAGGAAGCTGCGCTAGACAAGGATCACTGATTACACTGCAGCAAAAGATTGTT